ATGGCTTCTGGACACAAGAACAAGAATGGAAACACACCATGGTCCAAGTGGCACCCCCTTTCCCTGTGCCTGGCACACCACAGACCCCAAGTTTCACTTGAGGTCCCCAGGGCTTACTGCATGGAACCTGAGACATGTGGATATGTACCTGAACTGGGTCCACTGTGTCCCTCACCACACACAGGATGTCGAAGCGGGAAATGATGGGCTCTGTGAGGTCCACGTTTTCTGAGAAGGTCAGCGAGGGGTCATAGCGGCCCCCTGTAACACAGAGGGACCTCTCCATCAGGGTTCATGCTCCCCAGATGCTCTCTTCTTCCTAAACACAGAAAGGTCTCTCCAACTCCAAGTTGCTTCAGTGACAGAAGGGGAAGAGAACCTTTCCGTAGAGGAATCAGAAGAGGATGGAGGCTCAGCGCCTGCTGTCAGGTATTCCAGACAAGACACAGAAAACGGCTTTCCCCAGGCAACGGCCTGAAACAGCCTTGAGACAGAAAACACACCCATCTCCCAGTAGGAAGAGCCAGACAGGGGAGGGTGCCTGGGCTAAGCACTTGCAGGCTGGGACCAACAAAAAACTCCACCCTCACTTATACAGTGCACTAGATTCTTCTCCCAGGTCTTCTGAGAAGAATGTCCATGGGTGGTTCTGAGAACATGGCTCAACAAAAACCCATGCTTCCCACTTCCTGCTCTGGCAGGAAACACAGGAAAGAATCACTTTCTGTTGTTCAATTCCTAACTCAGATCTATGACTGGATGAGGGTGCTACGGGTTCCTTCTGAAGGCAGGGTCTCTCTGGGTCTTGTCCCCTTTGGCAGGCCCTGAGTCCCATTGGCTATCATGCCTGGTGTACCTATGGGGTTGGCAGCGGCAATGACAGTGCAGCGAGCCTGCAGGGAGGTGACAATGCCGGCCTTCGAGATAGAGATACTTTGCTGCTCCATGGCCTCGTGGATGCTGGTTCTGTCCTGGTCATTCATCTGCAAGAGTCAAATGCTTGATTCTCACCAACATGCCCCAGTAACATTTGTCCCCCACTGAGGGTTAAGCCAACAGACCCTGAATCCCATCATCTACATGGTCTAGGACCCACCTTGTCAAATTCATCAATGAGACACACCCCTCGGTCAGCCAGAACCAGGGCTCCAGCCTCTAGGGTCCACTCCCGGCTGACAGGGTGCCGCTGGACATATGCCGTGAGGCCCACAGCTGAAGCTCCCTGGCCGGTGGTGAAGATGGCACGGCTCGACACTTTCTCAATGTATTTGAGGAACTGAGACTTGGCTGTGCCAGGATCTCCACACAAGAGCATGTTGATGTCGCCTCGCACCTTGTGTTTGCCCCCTGGAGGAGGGAAGGATAGGAACAGAGGAAGTGGGGATGAAAGACAGATGAGGGGTACAGGACTTATCTCCAATTTCTCAGCCTATTATGAACGGCAAAGGAATGTATCTCCAGAAAGGACTACAATACCCTAGGACCAGCAATACCACTTCTGAGCACTGAACCCAGTGAAATGGATGTACAAGGAAGTGTGTATAACAATGTTCTCTGTAAATGTAGAAAACTGGAAGCAACTGAAATTGTTCTCCAACCAGAACTATGCTATATGGACCATGATACAGTAACTTAAAAGAATGAACATGATCTATTATACAGTAATACCAAAAGATATCAAAGATACGTTACTGAGAAAAAGTAGGCTGCATATTTTATGCACTCACTTATACACACATTACAGAAAACTAAATAGAAACATGCGTGTGTTATGAAATTCTGTTTTCTAAGTTATGTGTAAGTCTATGAACAGCCACACAAAATGTCTGGGAGTGCACACAGCACACTGTTCAGAGGGGTGACCTACAAGGGGACTAGGATGAAAATGGTGGGCAACAGTGATTTTGGCCTTCCTGTGACTTCTAACAATTTAAGAGGATATAATATAAATACATATTTGTATGTTACTTTCAGAGATAAAGCTTAACTTTTTAAAAGACAAAAATTTTAAAAATAAAAGAGAAGCAAAGACTAATTTGCTTAAATCAAAGGCAGGCAGTGGTGGAGCCAGGGACCCCCAGACGCCCAAGATGCCACACCTGTGGGCTGTGCTCGCCCTATGACGACCAACTTGCACATGGCCTGGCCACCTCTTAACATACTCTTTCTCCCCAGGCACCCAGGCTTTAAATACAGAGTCCTACCTTGTCTGACACCTAGAACCTGGCTCCTATTGAATTCCCTATAGAGGCTGCTCACCTGGGTTTTTGGGCTCTCCTCCAAACAGAGCCAGTGCCAGGCCTCTCTTGATGTCTTCATGTCCGTAGATGGAGGGAGCAATACTGGCAAAGATCTGAGGAAGGGAGGGAGTGAGCCATGGGAATGGGACCTCTGCTCTCCAGTCTGAGCCAACCTGATACCCACAGCATTATCATCCACATACTCCAGTTGCAGAGGATGGCAATGTCTCCAGCCCTAAAGCACCCACTCCACAGCTGCCGCTCAATTCCACCAGGCCCTGGCATTAAGCCCTGCCCTCTGACTCTGGGCCTTGTCTGAAAATCACAGAACTTTAGACCTTAAAAGAACTTTAGTCCGACCCCTTTTTCGTCCTAGTTCAGAAAGGAGTGCCCTAAGGTTTCGCACCAAGAGCAGAAAGGAGACAAGACCCAGACTCTGACAACAGGAAGATCCCTCACACAGGCTCTGTGGCCTGCCTTAGCCTCAGTTTCCTCAAATGGAAAAGAGGTAACACTACCCAATTCACAGGAGTGTGTGAGCTCTAAGTGAGGCATTTATATGAGTCTCTGGCTCCTGGCTGAGCTGTGATGGAGAAATATGATAAATACAGAGCATCTGGCAATGCAAGTGTCCTTCAACGAATGAATGGATAAAGAAGATGAGATTTATATATATATATAAAATGGAATACTACTCAGCCATAAGAAAAGATGAAATATCACCATTTGTGACGTAAATCAACCTAGGGAGTATAATGCTAAGCAAAATAAGTCAGACGGAAAAACGGAAAAGGACAATGATTTCCCTCATATGTGGGATATAAAACAGAAAGCAACAAATGAACAAACAAGACAAACAAAGACTAACTGACAGAGAACAGTATGGTGGTTACCAGAGGGGAAAGGAGGCGGGGGGAAGCTGAAGAGGTCAAATACATGGTGATGGAAGACTAAACTTTGGGTGATGAGCACACAATACAATATACAGATGATNGTCACTGGCCCTCATATGTGGGATCTGAACCAGGGCCCTCTGGCGTCCCAAGCCAGCTCTTAACCAGTGTGCCACTCGGCCGGCCCAGCATCTTTTGTTTTAATATTTGGGTTTTATATGGTTCTCAAACTGGCTCTGGAAACAGCTCCAGATGTTTCAAAATGTTTCTAGATGTTACAAAAGACAGTAAAGATGATGTCTTTTGTTATTCATAACAAGCCCCTTTCCACCACACCTGAGTTTACATTAAGGAGGTGGCTTTTGGAAAGCCCCTAAGGATGGGGCCTGTGTGCCAGGGGAACCAACCCTGTGATTGATTTAGAGGGTTGGAACTTTTAGCCCCAGCACCTAACCTCTGGGGAGGGGAGAGGGGTTGGAGGTTGAGCCACTAATGGCCAATGATTTAATCATCATGTCTACCTAATGAAGCCTCCATAAAAAAAACCCTAACTGAAAGGCTTCTGAGAGCTTCTGGGTTGGTGAACAAGAACATGTTCATGTGCAGGGAGAGTGGCATATCCTAAGCTACCTAGGGACAGAAGCTCCTATGCTCAGAGTCCTTCTGGACCTCACCCTATGCACCTCTTCATCTGGATGTTTACTTGTGTCAACAAAAGACATCCAGCCTAAGAGAAAGCTTATGAGTTGATTTGAGCCAAACTGACAATTGCGGGGAAGCAAAATCTCAACAGATTGAGAAAATGCTCTGCAAAATGGCAGTTTGCAGCTTATTTTATACATAGAATCAAAGGAAGAGGGTTACATGAAATCCACTGGTGGTAGATTAAGGGGGCGGGAGAAAGCAAAGCGGGGAAATCTCTGGGATTGGATAAAAGTAAATTGGAGACAGGTACTTCTTTTAGATAGTTGGGCACAGGATACTTAATAGTTCACAGTGAGATGTTCATCAAGGGACAAGAATAATGAGGGATTCTGTTGTTTCCTGCTCTGGTCTGGAAAAAGGATTACTGACATTCCAAGGATGTCATCTTAGGTGCAAAAAGACAACAGACAGGCTCACTTAAGGTGAAGACTGACTGTATGAAGGAAGCTTCAGGCTAAAGATGTGACTTCCTGCCATGGCCCACCTGTTATTTTATGTTTGCGCCATCTTAGATATTTTCAGTCTCCTGACCTTGTCAGGTTTAACCTGTGGCCCCTTTTCCGTCCTCACTTGTACCCTTTACTGTATCCTTTTAAGTAAATAATAGTTAACTGCTTCTGAATTCTGTGAACCTTTATAGTAAATTATCAAACCTGAGGAGGGCGTTGTAGGAACCTCTAATTTGTAGGCAAATCTTAGGTGAAAAATACTGTTGGGTCGTCTGGAAAGTCATGATGTATTTTTTGTTTTTCAATGCAAAAATGCATCATGACTTTCCCGACGACCCAATAAAAATTATAGGTGTCCACCTATCCACAGGGCAGCTGATCAGAGATTGTCATTTCCGGGTAGAGACTGGATGGCCTTGCTGGCGAGATGAACAATGTTGCTCCAATTGGAGGCAAGGCCAGGTTACCAAGATGGTGTACAAGTCTGTTCTATGGTTCCCATAGATTCCAGAGGGATCATATAGGCAGCAATTGCCAAGTGAATTCCCTAGGGAGAGCCACACCGTTGTGGCTTCCTTCACATCCACAAAACAGCTCTTCGAGCCTCATCTACCTCCTTCAGAACACCAAAAGCAGAAGCTGGAAAGAGCTTCCAAGGAAGTCCAGGAAAGCCTGCGTGTGTTATGATATTAAGACAGAACAGAGACCAAAAGTACCAGTATTTAGATTTTATTTAATTTTATCAAAAATTTAAACCATAGAAACAAGTTGAATGTACAAACAATGAGGGAGTAGGGAAATGGTTAGGTAGGAGAAAACAGATTAACACAGCAATGGTGATGGGTAGCCTCATTACCATATCAACCCTTCAGACCCTTCCTCCTACAGGAAACCAAGCTGTGTCATTACAAAGGGTAGAGGGACTGTGCTCTCTTCTGCCCACAAGGTTTCTTCACTCAGAAGCCCAGAGAAACCTGCAGGACAGAATTTAGAAAAAACTACCAATACCTTGAACTTGCTCTTCAGCCAAAGTGGACGAAGCAGCTAGGACATAGAACTCATGCCAAGCAACAGTTCTTGTAACACCCTTATATGTTCAGTCACCTAGACCATGAGTATCTTGAACACACAGGACTTGATCCAAGACAAAATGGAAGCAGACCTCATGTAAATGGTGGGTTACCGAGCAGTTGAAAAATAAACAATGGCAAAACACACCCACCAAAGATAGTGAAAGCAGCAGAAAGGGAGCCTAGGAAATAATTACCAGCATTCACAGCCACAGCCTGAGCCCAGCAGACTGGGGGAAGCCAGATGGTTCAGCTGCCAGCCCTGGCCTGGACCACACTCTGTCCCCTGGTGGTTTGGTTTTATGTTTCTGAAGCACAGAGTGAACTAAGCATAAGAACTGACTTCTCAGTCAGAATCAGGCAGCTGCTGTGGAGGCTCAGAACTGCTGGAGGATCATCTTTCGCTTCAGGTCATGGCTGAACTTGTTCATCCGAAAGAGCTCACTGTCATAAAAGGCAGAGAGGCTGTGGATGTTGATCTGACGGGCCTAAAAGGAGAAAAATATCAAGTGAGAATGGGGATTTGGAATGCCCAAGTCCACAAAATCTTAGGTTCAGTGATCTTTCTAAGGCCTAATCACCACAGGCCAGGAAGGGATCCCATCTCCATTAAAGGGAAAGTCAACCAGGACAGAGGCTGGCTGTATAGGGTCTGGAGCTAGACACAAGCTTCCCCGTAGCTCTGCTAACTGCTTGTGAGCTCAGGTGAGCTCTTCAGTTGCTCTGTGCCATCTCTTCTGTAGGATAGGATGACAGTAACAGGACTTACCTTTTGAGGCTGATGTCAACCTTATAAAGTGCATGGAACAGTGCTCAGCACATTAAAAACACTCAACAAATGGCTCTCATCCAAGGCTGATGCCGTCACTGACAGAGCAAGGACTTTTTGCTCCCAAAGATGACTGACAGCTCCCCAGGCAGCCAACCCTGCCCTTCCCCTCCCATCCGTGCCCATACCTTGTCCACCAAGTCCTTCTCAGGCACTTCAATAGTATCCTGCTGGGCCCCAAAGCGGTTACGTTGGTATGTCACCTGCTCTGCCACTAACTGCTTCAGTATGAAGAGTAACAGCTCATTGTTATCACGGCGGAATGAAAGGTAGCGGGCAAAGGTCTGCATGAGAAAAGAACAAAAGTCACCATTCCTCTCTACCAGGACCTTCAATGACACTACAGGATGACCAGTCCCGATCCTGCCATGGGACCTTCACTACTGGCGAGAGGAGCCAGATGCGGGAAAATCTGCAGCCAGACAGCAGGGCAAAGCCCAGTGTCCAGGTCAGCGCCTCGAGATGCCCACGTGTGGCCGCCTGAGCCCCTGCCTCTGCTTATACCTACCTTCCGCATGCTGCGCATGACGCTGAACTTCTGTGTGTCGATGAAGCTCTCCAACATCACTCGGATGGCCATGTTGACATCATCCTCTATCACATAGTCCCGCAGGTGGATGCGAGCATGGGCCTCTGCCATGCGAATCATGGACTCGATGTGCCGCACTGTGATGGGGATGCTGCCTGTTGCCTGGAGAGGAGGACAGCATCAGTCTTCTCAGGCAGGAGAGGCAAGGGAAATGGACAGTGGCACTGCTAGCAGCCCCAACCCAGAAGGCTCCTCTAACCACCTATGGCAGAAGTGCTCAAAAGAGCCACCAGGTGAGCTCACACTTTCCACTCCTTGAAGTGTGGCGGTGCCCAGTGGATGCTATGCTATGGCCTGCCACTATTATGTCGGCACAGGCTGCTCCCAACAATTCACTTACATGCATCCCAGAGTCCGTTACACTTGTGGCCAGATGTCCTTGTTACTGTCATGTACTAAGTACTGCATAATCCAGTGCAAAATAAGTGAGAAAATAAAGCTGCTGTTTCTATGTAAACTAAGTTGAATGCTCTGAAAAGACTTGATGAAGTTCAAAGGTTTAAAAAATAAAGGAAGAAGTTGCTGTCTTGCTTAGGTGGGTGAGACAGATCATCTAAAATAATTCAGCATTCCAATTGTTTGCAAGCTGCCTTTAAATCTTCACTCTACTGTGAAAGAACTGAAACTAGTTCACAGCACGTGTTCATTTGGGTGAGATTTATGCAAAGTCAACATGGATCTTAATCAGCAGCCAACAAAAGGCACTGACCCTATACCTAGAGACAAATGCATGCGCATCCAAGTGTTGTTTAAAAATACTTAAGGTATAAGGTATGTAAGTTTCCTTTTTTAAGGGCTTCCTGCTTTATCACTCTTTGGCTTAATGGACTGCATAGATGAGAAAACTGTTGCCTGCTTCCCGCCCCGCCCTCCGGTTCCCCAGGCACGCACCATGGATTCTTTCCTCAGATCACTGTACATCTTGGCCACCTTGTCCTGGTCCATCTGGTTGAGTTTCGGGTGGACCTTCTCCTTGGCATATATGACGTACTTCTTCAGGACCTCCTGCGGCAGGGGCTCCACGCCAAATGTGTTGGGCATGGTGGGCTCTGGGACGCCACCCAGCCCTTCCTCCTCCTTGTTGCTGGGGTGGTGTCTTATGTGGCTGCCAACCACAAAGCGGGCCAGCAACTCATCCTAAGACAAGATGGAAGAGGACAGGTAGCAAGGGGAGTCTCATGGCCTGGCCGGGAGGAAGTCAGCTAGCTGGAATAAGTGCAAGCTGATACGCTTGAGAAGGATATTTTCTCATCACTTATATTCTACGCCTACTATGTGAAAGGCAGCTCCAGGTGCCAGGGTCCACTGGTAAATGTGGCCAAGCCCTCACGGAGCTCACCACCTAGTGAAGGGAGAGGAGATACAGTTTTTTAAATTACTATGGAAAGTAACAAGTGCTCAGAGAAACAGGGCAATGGGTGAAAGCCTGAGGCGATTCCTCCAGCTAAGGCTTCCCAGAGCACCTCTGTTATCTGACAATCCAGGAGAGCAGCATTCCAGGAAGGGAAAAGAGTAAGTTTAAAGTCCTGGAATCTGTAAGGTGTAAAGTCAGGGGAGTCAGGAGACTCAGGCACAGAGAAGATCTCACAGGGCTGGCAGACACAGCAAGGATGGTGGATTCTCTCAGTTACAGGGAAAGCTGCTAGCACGTTCTTAAGAAGGAAAGGCATTATCCAACTTATGCTTTCAAAAGACGGGCTGGCATCTAACTGCAGTCTACATGGGCGTGAGTGGAAGCCAGGGACCAACCACCAGATACTGCAGTACTTCGGTCAGAGCAAGAGAAACGGCCTTGAGATGTAGCAGAGGAGCAGCAAGAAGTGGGCAGGCTCAGGCAGCAGGACCAACAGGACTTGGCAGCAGAGCATGGACGGTGCTGGGTGGGTGGCTGGGAAGCTGGAGCGTGGGGTGGGGGTGGGCGGCGGTGTGTGTGCAGTGAGCGGAAGATATCAAGGATGGCTTCTGGACACAAGAACAAGAATGGAAACACACCATGGTCCAAGTGGCACCCCCTTTCCCTGTGCCTGGCACACCACAGACCCCAAGTTTCACTTGAGGTCCCCAGAGCTTACTGCATGGAACCTGAGACATGTGGATATGTACCTGAACTGGGTCCACTGTGTCCCTCACCACACACAGGATGTCAAAGCGGGAAATGATGGGCTCTGTGAGGTCCACGTTTTCTGAGAAGGTCAGCGAGGGGTCATAGCGGCCCCCTGTAACACAGAGGGACCTCTCCATCAGGGTTCATGCTCCCCAGATGCTCTCTTCTTCCTAAACACAGAAAGGTCTCTCCAACTCCAAGTTGCTTCAGTGACAGAAAGGGAAGAGAACCTTTCCGTAGAGGAACCAGAAGAGGATGGAGGCTCAGCGCCTGCTGTCAGGTATTCCAGACAAGACACAGAAAACGGCTTTCCCCAGGCAACGGCCTGAAACAGCCTTGAGACAGAAAACACACCCATCTCCCAGTAGGAAGAGCCAGACAGGGGAGGGTGCCTGGGCTAAGCACTTGCAGGCTGGGACCAACAAAAAACTCCACCCTCACTTATACAGTGCACTAGATTCTTCTCCCAGGTCTTCTGAGAAGAATGTCCATGGGTGGTTCTGAGAACATGGCTCAACAAAAACCCATGCTTCCCACTTCCTGCTCTGGCAGGAAACACAGGAAAGAATCACTTTCTGTTGTTCAATTCCTAACTCAGATCTATGACTGGATGAGGGTGCTACGGGTTCCTTCTGAAGGCAGGGTCTCTCTGGGTCTTGTCCCCTTTGGCAGGCCCTGAGTCCCATTGGCTATCATGCCTGGTGTACCTATGGGGTTGGCAGCGGCAATGACAGTGCAGCGAGCCTGCAGGGAGGTGACAATGCCGGCCTTCGAGATAGAGATACTTTGCTGCTCCATGGCCTCGTGGATGCTGGTTCTGTCCTGGTCATTCATCTGCAAGAGTCAAATGCTTGATTCTCACCAACATGCCCCAGTAACATTTGTCCCCCACTGAGGGTTAAGCCAACAGACCCTGAATCCCATCATCTACATGGTCTAGGACCCACCTTGTCAAATTCATCGATGAGACACACCCCTCGGTCAGCCAGAACCAGGGCTCCAGCCTCTAGGGTCCACTCCCGGCTGACAGGGTGCCGCTGGACATATGCCGTGAGGCCCACAGCTGAAGCTCCCTGGCCGGTGGTGAAGATGGCACGGCTCGACACTTTCTCAATGTATTTGAGGAACTGAGACTTGGCTGTGCCAGGATCTCCACACAAGAGCATGTTGATGTCGCCTCGCACCTTGTGTTTGCCCCCTGGAGGAGGGAAGGATAGGAACAGAGGAAGTGGGGATGAAAGGCAGATGAGGGGTACAGGACTTATCTCCAATTTCTCAGCCTATTATGAACGGCAAAGGAATGTATCTCCAGAAAGGACTACAATACCCTAGGACCAGCAATACCACTTCTGAGCACTGAACCCAGTGAAATGGATGTACAAGGAAGTGTGTATAACAATGTTCTCTGTAAATGTAGAAAACTGGAAGCAACTGAAATTGTTCTCCAACCAGAACTATGCTATATGGACCATGATACAGTAACTTAAAAGAATGAACACGATCTATTATGCAGTAATACCAAAAGATATCAAAGATACGTTACTGAGAAAAAGTAGGCTGCATATTTTATGCACTCACTTATACACACATTACAGAAAACTAAATAGAAACATGCGTGTGTTATGAAATTCTGTTTTCTAAGTTATGTGTAAGTCTATGAACAGCCACACAAAATGTCTGGGAGTGCACACAGCACACTGTTCAGAGGGGTGACCTACAAGGGGACTAGGATGAAAATGGTGGGCAACAGTGATTTTGGCCTTCCTGTGACTTCTAACAATTTAAGAGGATATAATATAAATACATATTTGTATGTTACTTTCAGAGATAAAGCTTAACTTTTTAAAAGACAAAAATTTTAAAAATAAAAGAGAAGCAAAGACTAATTTGCTTAAATCAAAGGCAGGCAGT